AATAGATGAACCGATAAGGATAAGAAAGTAGACGTGCCCGGGATAACTTACTGGACGCGCAGGCAGCTGATTCTATTCGCCCCGACAGCCGACGACAAGCGGCGACAAGCGCAGCGGTAAAAGAAGCTGAGGGATGGACTTGCCTGGATTGGGTTGCGTCTCATGCCCCGTGACGTCGAGCGGCGCATGATGACCACACATTTCCTTAGGGCATAGGGCTCGCCGGAATGGGGGGAAATCTGGTCTGGGGTTCGGGGACTACCGGGGTTAGATTGAAATGACGCCGTGGAATATACTGGTCTACAAGCTATTTTGGATCGAGTTGTCTAGGAATGATCAAACTGCCCGGAACTTGATATAAACTTTCTAACTAGTTCTGTTGAATGGCGCGTGATGAGTCAGTCAGATTGTTTGACTTCCCACCCCTTTGTAGGCATTTGACAGACAAGACAGTTCCCATACTGGGCAGGCGGTCGGAGAATGCCGGTACCTGTCACGTGGGGTAGCTGTCAGACCCGGCGGGGGGTTTGATCTCTGGATCCCCCCAACCATCTCTCCCACTCGAGGAATCCCCGTTCAGTCTCTCGCAATTGCTGCTGCTCCGTCTGGATGGTGGCGGCTGCTTTCTTATTTCTCCGTCTAGCGTCACGGGCTGAGACGCCTCCTCCGTTTACTTGCCTGATCGGTGTCTTAGTCTACGGCTTACAACGGAACTACCCCCGTTGTAGATAGGATTTTCCCCAGCATTGTTGACGGACTTCTGCCCCACTGTGTGTGTGCGCCTGTTGATACTATTCCCCGTTGGGTGACCAAATATTCGGATGATCAACCGCTAGACAATATCTCTTCATCCACCAACATACCCTATACAAAATTTAGCGACCTGGTAGCAGGATAGCGCCTTGCAAACACTCAGAGGCTGTGGGCTGGTTTCCTCAGCCTTGCCTGGGTGGTGGTCTTCACTTGAGTAGGTTCACTGACAGCCTTTGTGTATCATCCATTCATGCTTGTCAGGTGTACACAAGACAATAAGCTAAGCTCGCCTTGGCTGTACGCTTATTGCTCTGCAAACAGCCGCACGCCCTTCAGACTGATAGAGCATAGATAGCCCCACCACATTACTTTCACTCTCCCGGGCGATATACGGCTGTTACCGACGTTCCCCAACTATCGCGGGGTCTGCCTCTCCAGGCAACGCTTCATTTAACATCTTCACCACTACTTCCTTCCCCTAATAAAAACCAACCACAGCTAATTAGCGGCCCTCAATTTCACTTTACTTTTGTCATCAGCTCTGATCCTTTGGTTCACCCTTGGATTCCCTTTCAGAAACTTTCAAACGTAGGAATATAACGCTTTTTCTTTTCGCTCAAAGCAACAAGAGCAATGGAGGGGCCCAATTTCACCAATCCCTTGTATTCTGCGCTTCCTATAAGAATGGGATATATGGACCATGCAAATGCAGATCTCACTCTGGATGACAACCCTGCGCTGCTTTGGGATTTGTACGAGCACGGTTTCTATCCTTTGCCTGACTATGACCAACCAATGAAGAAACAAAGGCAGATTAGTCGCGACAGCAGTCGCAGCAGCAAAAGCAGCAACAGTCATGAATCCATAATCAACATCCTGGACAGTGATAATGATGATTACAATCGTCTTGAGTCAGGGATCGAGTCAGGGGCCTCCTCGCGCCCATCGACCATTGCCACCACGTCAACCTCATCACGCTCCAATACGCACTCTGAAGCAGTTTACATCGATCTCACTTTGGACGATGAATTATTGTGGCAGATCACAGACATTTTTCCGGGCATCAGTCACCAGCATGTGGAAGAGCTGATCGAACTTCATAAGAAGCCCCAAGAGAACCAACCTGCGCCGCCCCTAGATTCATTGAAGGAAAGTGTTATTGAAGATATCTTACGGCATCCTAGCTATCCTAAACAGGAAAAGGCCAAGAAACGTAAGATTGAGGACACAGACGAGGAAGCTACGATACGGTATTTGCGAGATATACCACAACGAGGTAGTCGTGCATACGTCCAACTAGCGTAAGTGCACCGCCTATAATCATGAAATCCTAAACGCTGACCTTCTACTTTAGAGCCAATTTGTTAGCCCAAGAATTTGGGTGGATGCCGATGAAACATATTCGGGATGTTCTGGCAGAGAAAAAAGAGCTCTTTGCCGCGTATCTCACTCTACATTCTCAAGAGAGTGAACAGACGGGAAATTACACAAAGCTGAAAAGCAAAAGGTTTTCGAATGTACCAAATCTGGGCAAAGAGGATGATGAGGTATCTATTGCTGAGAACCTGGCTTGCGAACTAGGAGCCGCCAAGAAGAAAGCTGAAAAAGAGGACGGTAAGTGATTTCTCTCTGATAACAAGGGATACATACTGATCATCACTCTCCCGCAAAGATGCCATTCGCAAGAAGAAGGAAAAGCAAGAGGCTGAGATCAAAAACGAAGAAGAACACAGCCGAGCTGGGAACCTCATCGAATGCCAGTGTTGCTACCTCGATGTTCCAGCGAACCGATCACTTCCTTGTGAGGGTGATAGCGTCCATCTCTTCTGCTTTGCGTGCATTCGAAAGTCTGCGGAGACTCAAATTGGGCTTATGAGATATCAAGTCCAGTGTGTCGATACTAGTGGCTGTCAGGCAAAGTTTTCTCGCGCGCGGCTACAAGAAGCTATCGGCGAGAGTTTGATGGAAAAGCTCGACCGCCTTCAGCAGCAAGATGAGATCCAGCAAGCTGAGCTGGAAGGTCTTGAATCTTGTCCGTTCTGTGAATTTAAAGCCATCTATCCGCCCGTGGAAGAGGACCGCGAGTTCGTATGCAAAAACCCTGAATGCGAAATAGTTAGTTGTCGTCTCTGCAAGCAGGAAAGCCATATCCCGCGCACTTGCGCAGAAGCCAACAAAGAGAAGAATCTTCCTCAACGTCACTTAGTCGAAGAGGCAATGAGCGAGGCTCTGATCCGCCCTTGCCCCAAATGCAAAGTGAAGATTGTCAAGGAGATGGGCTGCAACAGGATGATTTGCTCCAAATGCCGGACTGCAATGTGCTACGTTTGCAGACGAGATATTTCCCGAGAGATGTACGAGCATTTCGGGCGTGCTCCGACCCACTGTCCCCTCCATGACAATCCAGCATTACGCTCATTACAAGAGATTGAGAAAGCTCAAAAAGACACTATCGATAGTTTATTGGCACAAAATCCCGAATTAAAGGAGGAGGAGCTGCGAGTCCATGACGCAAAAGACTCGGCCGCAAATATGTTGCACGTCCTTCAAGGTCCTGATAATGGACTCATACGCCATTTAGGGCAAGCGCCAATCCGGCCCAATCATGTGGTGTATCCAGGGCCAGCTATTCCAGTAGGAAGAGCCAATCCCCCAGCTGTTGCTCACCGATTCGATGCACCCGTTGGCATCCAAAATGGCTGGGGTGGACAAGGCTGGCTTCAGCACCCATTAGGACAACCTAGGAACCCACCAGGACGCCCTGTGCCTACAAACGTCGTACATAGGGGTGTGAACAATCAGGGCAATCCTCTTCAAGATCCGGCGAGAAGGGTAGATACTAGACCCCCATGGCGATACTAGTGGTATCAACATGAATCCGTCAGGCGCCAACCACTATTCTGATCGACGACCTTGATGGACGATCATTTGCTCCGCTAAGCCTTTGCACCTCGTTTCAGTCCAGAACAAGCGACACACCATACCCTGGATCGACATGTGTCGATACTGCAGCTCCCACCTTGGTATACCGACTTCCCTCCCTCTTTCCCAACACATTTTCTGCTTGCTATCTTTACATCAAATCCAGCGTCTAACCCGTCACCGTATCTCTCGCCTCCCACATCGCTCTCGGTATAACAGCAATCGGCTATTCAGCGTTACGCAGAAATGTTCTCTCATGCCAGACACACCCAACAGCGATCATACCCCTGCTTCATCCGAGCACGAAGACAACACAGACAAGCACTGACCCGTTATTGATAGAAAGCTTTCTTGGATGTTGGAATGCATCACAGGTCTTGGTTTCATTATTCTAATGGTTGAACCACTGAAGCGATTCCCCTAGCATCTATCTTCACCATCACATGTTCCCCACCAGCCCATTCCCTCTTCACCCAGCCCCCCTACCTCATCCATCCTTCTTTAATCCTCTATTATTTCCTCCCTCTATCAGCTCTAATCTCACCATTTCTCTTGGTTAAGGTAACTTAGAATGGATATCAGATTCTCATTTTGGCATAATCCAATGAATCAATGACTTGGTTATTACTCTTCTCTCTTCATCTACTTTTTAAAGTAATCATCGATAAATCCCTGCTCTTCTATAATCACGATGCCTCGACGCATTCATAATTTTGAATAAAACGGAGATCATATCATGACAAATCAGAAATCACATGTCCTGGTTATCTTGGAGTATAGTACTTGCAAGAAACTGGCGGGGTAAGAAATCAGCTGAAATGTGTAGGATATCGTATATGATATCACGTGATATGGCCTACATGACCTGCGAACTAGTATAAAGCGAGATGAAATCCACCAATAGCTTTTGTTCAGAATTAAATTACAGCGACGGACTGCCGCATGAAGAGAGGGATCATATGACTACGGACGCGCTGGAACGGACCATAAAGACGATACGGCAACATGAAACGGAGAAGAGCGACCCAAAGATGAAATCGAGAAGATAAAAGTATTACTATAGAGATTGAGATAATAAAAAGGAACTTCCTACCTATCTGCCTACCGAGTGCCCGGCCTAGTCTACTACTCATCACTATCTCATATCCATAACATCACATCTTATCAGTCATGAGGACGCAAAAGTAACAGCACCAGTCAAGAAACAAAAGAACAACGTAGGCGATGATGATAAGATGGAAAACTGAGCCCAACAAGCGCTGACAACGAGTCAAAAAGGCAACCACGAGAGCCGTGTTTGATGGAGATTCAAAGAGAACCAGACAAGACTTTCACAGGATAGGCAGCATAGCACATGACCAACACGCATATATGCCACAATATACAGGTGAAAAATAATAACTCACATGATGCGTTAGGAACCATTCTTCTTCCTCCTCTTTTTTTTTTTTTTTAAGTTTCCTTCCATACAGATGGGTCATCTGCGTTCTTTTTCCATAGCCAATCGATCAGACAACCTCATGGATAAGCACAACCAATTGTATTAGACACCCCAATTTTCTCGAATAGCAGCAGCTGTGTGTCTGTCGGTTTCCGTAACTCAGCTTTGATTTTTCTTCCATGTAAGGCGATATGGAGTTCAGTGATACTGACACACTGTGGACGCCTGTATCCCATTATCAGCTGGTTTCGTGACTTTATGCAGCCAAATCGTGTCAAGATCCGTTTCACTGGATCACATTTCCAAGATGGGCACAGCAGTCAAAGCGAGGCGAAGGAAGAACAGAGGCAAACACACACACACGCCGAGAGAAACAAGGATATGCCAAAATAAATGCGATGGGGACAAATTAACGATTACGGACAGGACTCGAGACCCTCCCCGAGCAGTGGGGACCATGCTGGCAACTTTTTGGCAGCTAGTTGCTAGATATTTGAATTTGCTAGGATCATGTAGTTGGAGAGAGAGCTCAACAAAGGAGACGAGCGGAATACAATAGGAAATGGTATGAAAATGAGAACACTCCGTGGAAATGGCGGGGAGGAGAATGAAGAATGCTTGGAAAAAGAAATAGAGACGTCTCCAGAGATGAGAAAACTTGGAGGTAAAAGAGAAAAGGAAAAGGGGCAAGGAGAAGAAAAAAAAAAAAAAAAAGAAGAGAGATATAAGTAGTAATAGAGAAGAGAAATAGAAGGGGGAAAGGAACGTGACAGAATGACGACAGGCAGAAATGGACGGAAAGAAATTGCGAGCAAAAAGACAAGGAAAGATATGAACCAGATCTATGTAATGCCATGCGAGTCCCAGAAATCGTCCGCTCCCCATTTTATATATTTGCGCCGCTCACTCGGACGACAGTGCCTAATTTCCTCATCCATCATGTATGTTCGATCATTGGTCACGCTAAAACAAGAATGAGATAAATGGAGATATGAGATAAGGAGCAGAAAATGTTTCACTGAAATCAGAAAGTAATGGTGAACTAGACGAACACGGCAGCAAGCTATAAGATAGAGATCCGCAGCTCATGGTGGATGTTCAGAGTCCACCGGTTCATTAAACTTCTGCCGTGCCTCTTCCACCCATAGTTCCAGGCGAAGCTCTCCAGCTTCTACACGTCGTACCGGGACCGTTTTGGCACGTCCATTCGATACCTTGGGAGGCGGCTGTTGCGGCTCGCCGTTTCTCAACTTAGAAACGGAGTAAGGGGCGGTGCACGATCGGAGGTGGACCTTATCCGGTTCGGCCACAATCCATGTCTGTTCTTCGGTTGTGGTCCCCGCCGGGGGTAAAGCATCTTCCCGCACCTCGATGCAGACGGTGAAACTGAATTCATCGTCCCGAGGTAAAGGAGTCAGGCGCGCACAAGCTGAAGCCAGCCTTGCTAGACAGGCCCGAAATTGCGCTTCGAGGTCGACTGATGTGGGGGCGGAAGCCCGGTCGGTTACGGGAACACCCGCTTTGGTTTGTTCCTCCCTTCTGTCTTCGAAGGTGGTATTGACTTCGCCAGCCGGAACACGGGGGAAGCCCGATAAATCAAAGGCATATCGTTCGAGAGGTTGATTCGTACGGAGGGAGGAGATGATAATGCTGACAGCGGTTATTGTGCCTTTCAAGATCTCCGTTCCGACCGCAATTGACGCGTCATTGATGTAATCACACACCTTGGGGTGACGGGATTGTCGGACGGGATAGTTGTACGCCCGCACGGGGAGGAACGTGGCTCGTGGATAGACCGAACGTAAAAACAGGATCTGGTGTATTGATACGGTGAGGAAATTGGTGAAGGATGCCGCCAACGCAGACTGATTGTTGGGCATCGATCTAGGTGCGGTGACCGGGGCGGAAAAAGTTGTCATGGTGGTAGTAACGGAGTTGACGGTGGTACTCTCACTGGCAATCGGCATTGCCGTCGTAGGCTCTGGTATCGTCGTTTCCACGGGAAAGATGGTCTTGACGGGATCTCGGAGATTCTGAGTGCTGTTCCACCCTGAGGCTAATCATCGCTCTGCCTTTTTCCAGACGAGTCAACAACAATATTCGATTCCACTCATGGAGAGGTTGATATATCTCTCTTCCACTCAAGTATTCCTTTGCGACAGCAGGAGGGGGGATGGTGAGGCGAAGAGGGGAAAGAGTGGGGTGGGAGTAGTCAAGGTGAGAGAGAGGAGGGATGAGGAGGGGGGGTGGTTGGTTGGTTGGTTGGTGGATGTGCGAGGTCAAAATAGGGAGGGGGGAAGGGAATGGAAATGAACAGGAGTTCGAAGAACCGGAAATAAAACCGGGAACTCGGGAAAATGATATAAAAAGACAAAATGGGGGAATAAAGCGAAAGAGTAAGAAAAGGAGATGATATGGTAGGAGATAAGAACAAAGTTGTTGTGTAAAAGGGGAGAGAAAAACAAAATTGAGGGCGGGGGGTGGGTAGAGAAAAGCACCTAAGATAGGGCGTTGGTGGGAAAGTAGCGGAGATGGAGTGAGAGGGAAGTGGTGGTGGTGGTGAGTTGAGTAAGAGGGTCGTTTAAGGGAACGAGTTGTGAGGGAGGGAAAGAGAGAGAGGGAAAGGGAAGAAGAGGGAAAGACAGCGAGTGAGGAGGGGAGGGGTGAGTGAGTGAGTGAGTTGAGTGGATTGGGGTTCGAAAAGTAAGGAAAGAACTTCGGAATTAAAACATACGTTGGGTGGACGAGACGAAACAAGCAGACCTCAGAGCATGGATGGAGTCGTTGAGATCGTGACAACCGGCGTGAACGAGATCTGGGATAGGATTAAGGAGAGAAGAGTTCTGGCTTGACGATAACGACAGCGACGACGATGTTGCTGCTTTTGCTGCTTTGCTTTGCTGATGGAAATTTCCTTTTTTTTTTCCCTTTTTTCTTCCCTGGTTGGAGTTCCCGTTTTAGTATTTTCCTCTTTGGCTCTCCCCTCTCCCTCGGAAGTTTTTGTTCCTGGAAAAAAAAAAACTTTTTTAAAAATAAGAGAGAAAAAAAGTATTACTTGGCTAAAGAAGAAAAAATTATGGCTTTTTTTTTTTTTTTTTAATTCCTTGCTCTCTGCGTCTAGGGAGAGGAGGGACGGCAGACGATAGGAAACCAACCCTTTGAGGGGGGGGGCGGCGTGGGAAGGGAGAGGTGGGCTGCTGGCTTGAGCTGGTTGTGATTGGGAAAAAGGCCGTTTCGACCAGGGAAGCCCACTCAGGTCCCAGAACTAAAAGTAGAGAGGGAGATTTTGCAAAGAGAGCGAGCAGAAGGCGCCGGCAAAGCACAGAAATATGAAAAGAGGAAAAGAGAGGGAAAGAGAGAGAAGAGAGAGAGAGAAAGAGAGCAGAGCGAGAGAGTCGCGGGCAGGCAGTCCTTCGGAGGGGAAGGCTTGTCGGGCGACGAGTCGTCCAGGTAAAAGGCGCCCAAGTCACGGTTCCCAGCCCGTCACGTGGTTGCGTCATGGGTGTGGATGCCATGCAGCAATCATCATACTGCTGCTGGTCGTGGGAAAAAGGCAACGCACGTACGGAGTCCCTTCCTCGCCCGATGTATGCCTACGTCTTGTTTCCACCCACTCCCCAAGGCTGCCTGCTTGCTTACCTTCTATTAGTCTACAACTCATACATTCCTCCAAGAGTCTGCCTGCCTACATCCTAGTTCTCGGTGGGGGTTTTGATGCTAGCCGAGGGGATCAAGTGACGCAAAGGGGTACCTCAGGCGCAGCTTGGGGGCGAAACAGAGGATGTAGGTAGAATGGCAAAGAATTTGGTCATGATGCACTACGACTACACACTTCCCGAGACAAGTAAGAAGCCCACACCGTGCAAGCACTGTGTAGCTTAATGCAAACCTCATGGAAGGCACTCTGTTGGCAAAGAAGGGGAAAAAAGCAAAGGAAAATGAAAGATTATCGCTGGGCAAAGTATGACAGTATGTATGACGGTATGTAAGTAAGTAAGCATCTGCGCCGTATTGGTATTGTCCACGCCAGTACAAGACGACAAGACCCAGACTCGTCAGTAGTGGGATGACTGACTCCAGTTCACTGAGCCGATCATCATGAAATCAAACTTGAATCGACACGTAGGTGACCGGGGTAGAAGACAGGAGCAGCATCGATAATAATTAGTCAGGATTCCGAGAGATTAAAAGGAACGAAAGTTAAAACAGCTAGTCGTTCCAGAAATCTTACTACAAAGGCCGGAACACCTACTCTATTTCCCCCGTATGTCGCCCAAGGTTTCCAAGGTTCAATCAATCAAATCTGGCTTGCTCCGGGGTTTATTTAGGTCAAATCAGTTTTGGCTAGTTGACTAGTCGATTAGTATAGTCCGGAGTAATTATTAGCTATTTAACTATCTACTCCCTCTGCAGTTGTTGCATGTATTGCTGCTGGGTTGTTCCTCCCGGCCGAAACAGTATACCCTCAGAGATCGATATTATACAAAGGGCCTCCTGCTGAGGGTCAGAACATCGTCCTTCACCGTCGGAATGTCTTGAGGAGAAGCTGAAGAATGCTTAGTGCGCGCGATACGAGAGCTATCTTGAGCTTACCCCTCCTGCTGCGGATTCCGGGTCTTATGCATGGCCCTGAAGGTCGCCAGTTCGCATTATTACCCGATCCCTGATTATTATTAGAATTTCTCGACACAATTGCTCTAGCACACGCGATCGCCTTCTAGGTTGTTCCTCGTTGATCCATTTAAATACAATACCCGAGGCTACTTTTAACTGTATGGTATCCGATCTTTCAATGAGTAATGGTGTAAGTGTATGTATGGACATAACATACTCCATACAGCGACCGGGAGTACATTTCAAACCACACCATAACGTAGTACTTTTCTTCTTTGGGCGGTTCCGCCCCTCAGCTGGCGTTAGATAATCAGAGTTGCCGGTTTATCCTCATCAACCCCACTATGATCGACTCACAACTCCCCCCTTCCAATTCCTTCCTGTCATCCTTTTCAGAAATACATCGAGTCCCCATCTACGCCACTTACCTAGCTACCCCGGTGATCACTACCCAAAGTTTGCTGCACCGCTGTACGGAGCACAGTCGATGATACATAGTACATAAAACATACATTTGGCCACTAGGCACACATGGAGCCTGGGGAGAAAATGGGCTCCAAATACGCGGCTGGAGCAAAAGTACAGTGCAGGAACCCAGAAGAATAAAATCTATTGCTTCTCTACATCATCATACTCTCCATAAGTGGCTCCAGAATGGATTTACAACGATCCAAGGGATTTTCTTTCCTCCTTCTATGATTGGATTGAAGCCAGATCTTCTCCACAGAAATCTTCGACCTAGGCAGATCAGCAACTGAGACAAGAATGCCGCCTCTGATTCAGTCCTGGCTCCTTCACATAACTAGCTAGGTATTGCTGCTTCTTGGTTCAAGAGGCTCGCACCGCTAGACTTCACTGTCATCATTCCCAATCCCTGGCAACCATTTACAACCTAGAGTGATATGTATTGGGCATAATAACGGAGCACATTTGCTAATAACGTGCGAGCCAGATCTACCCACCCTGTATTGACCACTAAGATCCGATTACCTGCCATTGATCGCTCATGACTTCAGTGGACACAGCACCTACTTTTCCTCCTCCTTAATTGGGCGGCTAATCAGGCGGACCTTTGTATTGGCTGTATCTTCTTCTTGGAAGTCTCTACCGGATAATGTAGGAGCCAGCAAGACACCCGCCATCGCATGTACTTTGTTCGACCAAGTCGCCGGTCTCGGAGGTTATCCAAAATCCATCTATCGTTTGAGACCGGGGGCTGTCAGACTATTGAATGTGGCTGCTTGGGAATGTCTAAATCTTTGTTCGGCTTATCTGCGTACGCGCATAACAAACTTCAGTCAAACTGTATTGCAATACATTGGTTTCTCATGTGTTCTGTAAGGAAGACTGTATCATCATCCCTGGTTTCCAGGATGTTCAGGCCCGGATAAGTTTGTGGAAAGTACAGAGACGTTGGGAGGTGATGCTCAGACGTTGCTTGTAGGCTTTAGGCTATTTATTCTCCGATGATCAGTGACGTGAGTCGGAAAACAGGACACAGGGATACTGAAGACTTCTAGTAGTATAAATTACTCTCCCATGTCTTGCAGTTCACGAGTTATGTCTTTCTTCTATTGCTGGCATCCAGAAATAAGGGAAGATATGCGGTAGAGCTTGGCCGCCATTGACCTGGGACATGCTGTCTATAATAAGTAAGGCTGGCTGAAAGATAGACGGTGCTGATAATAGACAATTTAAACACAGTACAGCACACTATAACCATAGCTGGACAAGGATGAGGGAAAGCTCGTAGTCTGGTTGACAGCAAACGCTAATAATTTACCTATTCACCTATAGTTAGTTGTTGTCTCAGTTGGCCGCGGGACTACCCAAACCAAACCAAACTGGAAATTAATTTGGGGGAAATTCTACCCCTCACCGCCTCCCTTTCCCGCTCGTCTTCTGCCCCTCCACGACGCGACATTTCGCGATTGATATTGATTTGAGCCATCTACCTGAATCCTCCTGTTCCCGATAGCGTGGTTTGACGGAGCCATCTGTTGTGATCTGAAACACCAGGATTTCAAAGATTGGGCCTGAATCCAGATCCGGCCCCTTGTTTGACAACTCTTGACTATACTCCTATCGACCCTCTTCCGTCTCCTCACCTACGTTTCCTTATCAACATGGAGCAAGAGCTCCTGACATTGCTGGCAGACACTCAGTCGCCGGTCTCCGATACTAGAAAGTCCGCTGAGCTTCAGCTTCTACGCCTTTATTCCAACGAGACTTTCCCCCTATCACTTGCGGCCATAGCCTCTCACGATTCCGTTCCCACCAACCTCCGCCAGTCTGCCCTTTCTGTTCTTCGGACCTTCATTGCCGCATCCTGGTCACCAGTTCTCGATGAATTCAAAGGCCAGGTCCTGGTCAGCGATGCAAACAAGGCTCAGCTTCGACGGGCGCTATTGGACTTAGCTACCATTACCGAAACTCCCGAGCGCAAGGTCAAGTCGTCTGCCAGTTATGCTGTGAGCAAGATCGCCAGCGCCGACTTCCCCGAGCAGTGGCCAGAACTCCTGCCTTCTCTGCTTCACATTATAAACGATGGGAACAGCACCGCCAGTGCGCTTCACGGTGCACTGAAGGTCCTGTTGGATCTGGTGGACACTGGGTTCAGTGAGGAACAGTTCTTCAATGTTGCTCGGGATCTTGTCACTAGCCTCTATAACGTCGCTACCAATGAGTCGAGAAAGCCGATGTTGAGAGCCTTGGCTGTCGCAGTTTTCCGGGCCTGCTTTGACACATTGGAGATGGTCCTCGAACAACACAAGGCGGCTGTCAAACAATTTATGGACGAAGTACTTGGTGGCTGGTCTCCATTCTTTCTCTCTACCCTGAAGGCACCCCTACCACAAGCTCCTAGTGCGCATGAAGAATCTAAAGACGCTGAGGTGCCCTCCAAGTGGAGGGGTGTCATTGGTCTGAAGTTGCAAGTGGTCAAGGTATATAGCCATTCTGCCCCTTTTGCTGATTCACGCTAATCGCTGATCTGTTAGACCTTGATGAAAATTCGCATGGTATTTCCGGGTCTCTTGACAGCTCAAAGCCCGGTATACTTTTCAACTATCTGGACTGAGCTGTCCAACATACAGTCTGCTTATCATGAGTTCTACATTGAAGATGAGAGACAGGGCCGTATGGAGGATGTCGACGGACTCCCGTATACTTTGGACTTCTTGGTTCTGGAGGAACTCGATCTGATTCAGACGCTCCTGAAGGCACCGCCGGTCAAGGCCGAGCTTCAACAGCAGCTACAGAATGCTGGGCAGTCGGCGGCAACAACAAGTTGGCTTCCCGAAATCATGAAGCTGGTCGCCTCTTATGCTCAAATCACATCAGAAGAGGAAGGTCTATGGGATATCGATGTATCTCTGTTCCTTTCGGAGGAGACATCGGTTACTGCCAACTACACGCCCCGTACTTGCAGTGGAGATCTGGTGATCAAGCTTGGCGAATGGCTCAAGAGCATGACAGTTGAGGGACTACACGCATACCTGAACACCGTGTTCTCCGATGCGTCCTCTACGTAAGTTGAGTTCCCTTCCTGGCGCTTCAAACGAAGACTAACCGCTCCGTGAAGGTGGAAATTGAAAGAATCGGCCCTCTACATTCTCAATCAGCTCCTCCGGGACTTTAACGAAGTTTCGCAAGGTATACCTGCTGGCTCGGCTAATGGAATCAGTAACTTCATTCAGTATGCCATCCAGCAACCAGAAGATCTTTTGAGAGCGCGGGGCTACCTCATTGCCGGAGTCCTGTGCCAGGTCGCCGACGACTCCTTCCAGCAGACGGCTGCGTCTTACCTCGAGGCTACCATCAAAGCAATCACTGAAGATGAATCTGAAGTGGTCAGGGTCGCTTGTATTCGAGCACTGCAGGATCTTATGCCCTCGCTTCCTTCCAGTGCTACGGTCCCTCTCCAAGTTGCCATTGTTTCCGCTCTGTCGCAGTTCGTTTCCGCACATGACCTTTCAGACCAGTCAGAGGGTGAAGACCTGAAGGTTACCATTGCTGAAACGCTCCGCGATACCATCATGGTCCACCCGACTGTCGTTCTGTCGTCGACCGCCATTGATCTACTGTTCAGTGTTGCCAGCAGCGGAGCCACCAATTTCCAGTTGACGATGATCGTCACGGAAGCATTCGAGGACATAGTTGAAGCTATCGCCGAGAACGGGGAAGAGGCTTTCGTTCGACTATGCGAGAAGGTTCTTCCTTCCCTGACCGGGGCCATCGACGTCGGCAACCTCACCCAGGAAAATGCTTTGACTAATTTCGCTGCGGACCTGATCCGTGCTCTTGCTGAAGGAGCATTGGAGCCTTTGCCAGCCGGCTTCGTGGAGACGGTCATGCCGAAGTTGAACCGCCTGCTGCTCGATTCGTCCGACGCGGAGCTGATCCGTCCGGCTACAGAAGCCGTCCGCCATATGCTCTCTCATGACTTCAACCAGTTTGTCGCCTGGAGAGACCCGCAGAGCGGTAAAGAAGCAACTGAAGTTGCCTTGATCATCATTGACCGCTTGCTCGGACCGTCGGTCGATGACAATGCGGCGACCGAGGTTGGACAATTGGCTGCGGAGTTGGTGGAAAAGGCAGGCTCCGAACGTCTCGGTCCTTATCTACCGCAGCTTCTCCGTGCTGTGGCCCAACGACTGGCTACTGCGGAGCAGGCTCAGTTTATCCAGAGTCTAATTCTTGTCTTCGCACGTCTCACTCTGATCAGCGCACGCGAGGTTGTGGACTTCCTTGCCCAAGTAGATATCGGCGGCCAGAGTGGACTTCCCATAGTGCTGAGCAAGTGGCTCGAGAACTCGGTCAACTTTGCTGGTTATGATGAAATCAAACAGAACATCATTGCACTAGCAACCCTGTACAGTCTGGGAGACCCTCGCTTGTCCGAGGTACAGGTCAAGGGTGATCTCATTATCCAGGACACTGGCCGTATCAAGACACGATCCCAGACACGCAACAACCCTGACCGGTACACTACAGTGACGGCTCCCTTGAAGATTATCAAGGTCCTTGTTGAGGAGCTGGCTGCTGCATCCGGCAACAAGGAAATCGATGCGGCCACGGCGGCTGCTCTGGAGGAAGAGGGTAGCGATGATGACGACGAATGGGAAGATATGCCCGGCAACACCCTTGACCTGAATCTGGGTGTCACCAAGCAAGAGCTGATGGCATTCGGCGAGGGCGGATCGGAAAGTGTGTTCGGGGTACGCAGACGCGACGACGAAACGCAGGCCTTCCTGTTGAACTTTTTCCGTGAAGCAGCCACCAAGCCTGAGTTCGAGCAGCTCTATGCAGCCTTGACTCCGGCCGAGCAGGAGAAGCTGCAAAGTTTGAACTGATCCGGCTTGGCGGCTGTCGACAGGGTGATACCATTTTATGGACAAACATTATCTTTTCTTCTTTTCACGTTCTGTTTATTGCCCCCTGAGCCGATGCTGGGAATCACATATGAAACCTGATAAATGCATGCATAGGTACACCTAATGATTGTATGAACAAACGGTACATCAATGATCGCAATCAATCCTGCTAGTGCCGATAAGCCAACGCACTTTGATCCAGCAATTCCGTAGGACCACATCTTCTAGTAGTAGTCAAAAACAGTCCGACCCGACCCAAGAAACGTCAACGACGCCATGCATCTTTCCTATAGTGTTTCACCTGACATTTAGTCTAGTCAGTTAGTCAATTAGCTAGACACCTGCAGCTGACAACAAACCAACACGTAGCCGGGTGTCCGGATCATCCCGATAGTCATGCATTTACTCCTTCGGGCTTGGTCTTGAGGGGGGGCGAGGGGGAGGAGTGGGTGTTGTGGTCGAACGATGATGCTTCCTGCAGGAAGAAATATCCCTAGTGCACACACTAAACTAAGTACTAGATAGCCCACCCAGTGATCCAGGCGTCTGTTGCCCCATAAAAAGTCGATATAGACGTTGCAGTTAGTTAGTCCTGTGATTGATTACGGTCCCCCCCCCCCCAAAGTACGTTAATACCTATCACACATCGCATTACTTGAGAATATTGATTACTTGTTTATGAACCAGTTGGTAGTAGATAGAAGTGTTGAACTACGGAGTGGCGGGCACATTGTCGGGTTTTTATTGTGGGTCTAGAGTTAAGAGAGAGGCTTCACCGCAGGAGGGATTTTTATGGTTGAGTTAGATAAGGACTACTATCTGGTAGGTACTGTCTGTTTCTGTGTATGTTTCACATTCATCGCATAGTAGGTAGTATGTAGTAAGTATTGGGGTTTGTGTGTCTTTCTGTCCTCGGCTATTTTGTCCTTGGACTTACCAGTCTGGTAAAGAAGTGTAAGTAGGTTTGGTTTCCACATCTGCTTCTGACATCTTCTCGCTTAGTTCACTGTTAGGCATATGATATTAATCATGCCATTTTTCGCGCAAACTATCGTTAGTGGGAGATACCCATCGTGACTAGGTAGGTAGTATCTAGGATGAAAAGACCCGACCCAGAGCATCAGCACTTAGTTGGTTCATCTATCTACCTAGTCTAGATAGATAGATAGTAAGTAAGTAGTAGCTGCATGCGATGAAGTGGCTGATCAACTGGCGTGATTGGGATCCCGAAACGGGACCAGCCGTCACGGGGGAGCGGGGCTGGCCTGGGCTGGGCTGGGGGGCCGCTTGGCTGGATAGCCTTACTGTCTTCCTTTATGGACATTTGGATCGGAGATGGTTTTACTATTTTTTTTATTCTTCTATCCGTAATGTATAATATGGTGGTGAGTGTCATCCTCTTATCTCCATTTTATCGTTGTTTGTCTTCTTCTGTGGTAAAGTTAGCTACAAAGTAGTTAGCAACAAGCCACAGCCCAAGCGTGCGGAGAAAAATTGTCTGAGGTTACATAAACTACGCAGCTGAGATCCCAACTAGCGTGGGACCAGAGAGAGGGGATAGGGAGAGAATCAATTCCAAATTCTTTTTAGGGCACACACTAGTAACTAGCAACTGCGGGCTGTCTGGACCAATCTGTGGAAAGCATCTAACTATGCTTGTGTGGATGGGCTAATTGCGCGAGAAAGAGAGTTAGTAGTTTGAAAATAGATACATTTTTAGTAGGAGAGTTGATCCATTTGCCATGGTTACAGTTAATATGATGGATGGCCTGTCCGGAAAAGACCCGACCAATAGAAAGAAGGAATGGGTGGTTACCAACAAGACGGGAATTGAAAAACTGACTTGACGATACCAAGCAATACCGGGCGTCAACCCCGACCCAGAGCCCTGGCACCAAGCTAAGTAGTAGCCTTCAGCTACTTACTTACTTACTTACCTCCAATATTGTGTGCTCACCGACCCGAGGGCCTGTTCCCCGGGACCGCCTCCCCCTGTCCGTGCCGCAGTTACCCGTATCTTACCTGGAAGTTTAGTTATCCTATCTTGTAGTAGTAGTTGACTAGTCAATTAGCCATTTCCCAAAGCTCTCTTTCTCTCTCTCTTTTTAGTGGAGTTAATTGCTGTTCTGTTCTGCTCTTGCTCTAACCTCTGCTCTACTTCTTTTCCCACTTCTTTGTGCTCCGTCACTTATTTATTTGTCTACACTTAAATTACAACTTTCTTCTCTTTCGCTAAGTACTATCCAAGTTCCCCCGTTGTAAGCTCACAGCTGCGGGTGCCATCTTTTGAAGATCCCACTTATTCGTCTCCCTCTCTTTCACTCTCTCCTCACACCATTTCCCCTCCCTCCTCCCGCATTGTCTCCGCCCGTCATTTCAAACATGCCACAGCCAGATTCGGAGGAACACATCCAGGTAGATGTAGGACATCCCCTATCTCTCCGACAATTATACTTCAATCTATGTGTTTTCTGTTTTGTTTGCGTGCATCTCCGGTTGTTTATGCAGCCACTCAGCACTTCGCCTGAGAGACATCGAACGATTTGACGCGATGCTTGAGGAGTTATGATTTGATTGTGTTGCAAATACCAAAGAGCACTCACTTCAGAGTTCTATGCTCAAAGGCGGCCACTAAACTGACTCCTACAGACAAGCGACGAAGACTCCCTCATAGATGAGCAATCCATCATCGAATCCAATATTTCAATAACTTCATCCGTACGAGATTACTGTTACGAAAATGGCCGCCGCTATCACGCCTATCGCTATGGGCAATATCCCATGCCCAACGACGAAGAAGAGCAGGATCGCCTCACATTAATGCATCATGCCTTCAAGCTCCTCTTGGGGGGTGATTTATATCGCGCCCCGATAGGCGAACCCCAGCGCATATTGGATATCGGCACGGGGACGGGCATCTGGGCGCTGGAAATGGCCGAAGACTTTCCCAACGCGGAGATCGTGGGCACCGACCTGAGTCCGATTCAGCCCAAGTGGGCGCCGCCAAACTGCAGCTTTCTTGTTGATGACGCGGAAAGTGATTGGGCCTACATCGGCAATGAACCCTTCGACTATATCCATGCTCGCAGCTTGGGTGGCAGTATCGCCGACTGGGGCCAGCTCCTTCGTCAGGCTTACGAGAATGTGAAGCCCGGCGGCTGGGTCGAAATTCAAGAATCCGAGACCTGGGTACATTCCGATGACGGCACCTGCAAAGATGCTGTTATGGTAAGGGAACTGCAGCAGAAGTTGGAAGAGTCGAGTACGAAATTCGGGAGGCGCATGAACATTGCTCCTGAAGTGAAAGGCTACATGCAACGCGCTGGTTTCGTCAATGTTGTGGACGATATTTACAAGGTCGGTCTCTACAGTTCTTTTTGGCTTCGAATTCAGCTAATTGAAGTAGTGTCCTGTAGGCACGTGGCCAAAGTCCCCTCGTCTGAAGGAGATCGGACGAGTGGGGAAACTGATTCTATATGACTCGGTCGAGCCATATTCGCTAGCTCTCTGGACTCGTGTCCTGGGATACACGTATGAAGAAGCTCAAGCCTTCGTGAAGAAGGTGCATGCGGAGCTTGCAAGTTCCACCTACCATATCTACATTTTCTTCCATTATGTGTATGGACAGCGACCATTAGACGGATGATGACGATACGATCAGACTATGTGACGGCCGTGACATGCTTTATGCCTATGCTCTTTTCATTTTTGGCGTCAAAATAGCGGCGGGTACATTATTCTTCTTTATGACGATACCCTCTTTCTGGGCATATATATGAATGTTCTTGATATTCGAGCTCGATGCATATGCATGCTTAATGAATAGAAGTTTCGGTGGGACAATGTCCTTACATCCACATCCTTCCTCTTATTTACAAAACACCCTACCCCAATTGCACCCTCTCATCCCTGCAAAGAATACCCAACCCCCTCCCCACTCCCCATCGCCACCAAATTCGCCCGCATCTTCTCCGGCCTCTCCCCAATCCCAAAAGCCGCATCCTCGCGATGCACCCAAGCCCCAACCCCATGCTGCAACACCGCCGTAGCCCTCACCTTCTTATCCTCAGACGGGGCATTCAACCCCAAACTCCCATGCAACGTCAGTCTCGTCTCCTCCCCGCCCTCCTCCTTACACTTATACACCCCGCGATGCAAAATATTACTATCATAAAACACTGCATCCCCGGGCTTCAACTGGACAACCAACTGCCCAGGCAACTCCGGCTCATACGGCGCCGCATTGCGCTCCACTTCCGTGCGCACCCTTCTATGCGACCCCGGAATCACAATCAAGGATGAATCCTCACACAACGCCAGATTATACTGCGCATGCGACTGTTTTCCATTCGGACTCTTATCCTGCAGCATCTTCAATTCTTCCTCAGGGGTAGCAGTCTCGGGGATATCGTCGCGGTGCCAGCGCAGCTCGAAGTCCTTGGTCTCCGGCGCGACGAGGAGGTTGAAGAGCTCCATTACCAATGGTTCGGGAGTATCGCTATCGCCGTTGGTGTTGTTGGTGTTGGTGGTTGATGTCAACCCCAGTAGTTCCTCCGCCACGGCAAGCACCTTCTCGGAAAAATAGAACTTGGCGAATTCACTCCGTCCTGGCATCTCCGGGTGCAGGAGGTGCTGTACACCCCAGATTCCGCCTTCGGAGGCGGGAGGAGGGGTCGTCGGCCATGGTGGGAATTGCTTCGGTACTGTGCGGAAGTGTGGCCATTTCCCGGTCCGCGTGAGTGTGGTCGCGTGCGTGGCTGTGGTGCGGTAGTGGGCGATTTCGTCCGCGGTGAGGAGAGAGGGGATTACTACGAAGCCGTCGCGTTGGAGGGCTGTGAGATGGGGGGTTGAGGTCATTGTTGGTTTTGGTGGTGGGTTGGATTGGGGGTGGTGGTTGTGGTTGAGGTGAGGTGGTGGTTATGTCGGGGTGATGACGGGGAGATAAGTTAGGCGGGGAAGAAGAGATTGTTGTTCCACTGGAATTGGACTACAATAGATAGTGGATTTGGGATTGGGACAATGGTATATATAAGGTGTCTTTATTATTCGAAGGTTGACTGGTATATGGGGGATGTTGTTCCCATTACACAACAATGTGGTATACGCGATGCTACCTTGTCTGTCAGCCACATGTTACCCTTCCACTTGTTCAATTTTGTGGTCTGATAAGCATTGAAGAGATCACTGTTAACTAGTACTTTGTAACTAGTGTTATTGGGGTAAGTCTGAGTAATGGGCTCAAGTCCGGCGCTGATTGATTGATTACCCCGCGGCGGGCACAAATTAGTTAATTAATCCCTGATCGATGATCAGTCATCAGGGCGGGGGGGGAAGATTTAGTGACAGTAAGCTGCACTGACCTTTCATTCCATGGTTACATTGTGTGATTGACTAGTGGTTATCTAAGTTAACATACAAAGTTGTATATAAGTAGTATATTTTGTCGTTTAAAATAAACAGTATTTATTGTCATACACAATGATTTGCTTTCATTGATTGCTCTCCGGACATTTCAGTCACGATGACTGATGAAAATTACACATTCAGCGCCTACAGTACCGAAACAAATCACACAACCAATACAGTGGCTGGTAAAAAGGGCCCACTTTCCCAACATCCGAGAATGACGATCAACAGAGCAAGGACCATATGACGAAAGTCTTCACTTGGCAGTCCCGTTCCGATTGTTAGCGGTGACTGCGGTGACTGAGCGGATGAAAGGGTGCAGACTGATACAGTCATAAGTATTTTATGTATGCTGGGGAGCGGTTACTAGTGTTGTGGCTGTTCTCAGTATCTACTGTATTTGTTGTTTATTGTATGTAGATACGAAAATCTACCTCATCTCCGTTGAGAAAAACATCAAAACAATGGTCAGATGGAGTAATGCCAAGCAAAGCCACCGACAACGCCCATGGCTCCCACTGAAACCGCATTATTACGGAAAAGAAAAACAAACCACCTCGCTTGTATTTATCGTATGCGAATTCTCAGCTGGCAAGTGTCATCTGAAAAGGTGGCAGGGCCTCAATCACAGTCGAGCTGACAGCCTCTAAGCCACCGGCGACCAAATCATATCATCATCGCAATGATCCGGTCTCCTACTGACTCGATGGCGGGGCTTTTTCAGGGTCTTTCCTTCCCCTCCTCCTCCTCCTCCTCCTTAGATCTACTTCGTATCAATCTAGTTCTAGCTTGGTCACCGGTTGCAGATCGATGACACACAAGTTCATCAAATCACTACTAACGGACTACGTACCCCTCGCTCTCGTGCCGTTTGGACTTCTCCCAATTTGGCCCGCTTTGTCTTTGTCCAACTAGTAGCAGCTTAGCTCCTTCTGTCTATTGATTCTGCAGATAAGATAACTCTCGGCTTTTTTTCCTTTTTGCTATCTACCCCCTCTCCTTCGCTTCTGCATGCACGTCTTCCCCCTCTGCAGCCTGTCATTCTTCTAGACTCTTTCCTGTCCATTCTTTCTCCTGCATCACCCGCAGAACTTTACCTACAGCTATGGCTCCGAGAATGAGTCTGGGCACTCACGCCCTGCTCGTTCTGGGTCTGCTGCTTGTTGTCCTCCCCACCCAGGCCTGGGCTTTTGGGGCTGGAAGTAAGCTTACACCTGCTTTATTTAGTATACATCATCAATTTGCTAACACGCGCAGACATCGCTTCTATTTCCGCCGTTGAAGGCAAGAACTGGCGCCATGGAGATATCGAGGACATGCTCAAGACCATCGCTTTCATCAAGGGCCACAAGTGGACCTCCATGATGGTCAAGCGCGTGTACTTTGGTAACTGGTTGCGCGATTAGTGAGCATTTCCGCCCTCATTATATGGTAACTCATGCTAATTGGTACTTTGCTGTTAGCTCACAAGCTATGGACGTCGGTACGCTGAAGAGTCTCCCGGCTGAGACCATTCGGATCCTGGTCTGGATTCTGTCGTTCATGACATTTGGCTATGCGACGGCTGAGTTTGAGGTCACTTCGGAGAGGTTAGGTGTTTATCGTCCTGAGGAGCATATTGAGTATGTCGTTCTCCGATCTTTTATGTCTTGTCGAATGTATGCTTATGATCTTATCTGCGCAGTAACCCCAAGGATTATGCCGACAATCAGGATGCTCGCGAGTTCGATCAACGACTGCGGGGCCCTGTGCGCCAGGTTGAGCTGGATATCGACCCCGAAACTGGAATGAAGAACTACATTGCGAACGAGGAGGGCGGATGGGCTACCAGCGCCGCTTACATCAAGTATAGCTTGGCTCGCAGCATTCATTACGGACGCACATATACCCATGGAAGCAGGAAAGGAAACGAGGAAGATCTCTGTGAAGCGCTTCGGTGCCTGGGCCAAGGTCTCCATACGTTGGAAGATTTCGCAGCGCATACCAACTATATCGAACTTGCGCTCCGTGAGATGGGTTTCCGCAATGTCTTCCCTCACACTGGTGTGGACACCCAGATGAATATTCGCGGCCACCATGTGTTTCCGCTTGTGACTGGAACGTTTGGTATGGTTGATTTCTTCCACTCTGTGCTGGGAGAAGCCAACGATCACTTTACTCAGTCGGAGGTCAACGAGATGGACATTGCGCTCGGAGATGCCGAGGCAAACTCCTCTGGCGGGTCTCTTGGTGCTTTCACTGGTCTTCTGGGCAATATTCCCGGGACAAAGGACCTGGTGGAGGAGGCGGAGGAGCTCAAGCGTCGCTCTGAAGCTCAGGAGTCTGCAAACCGCTCTTATGGTGCTCGTTCTGGTTACACTACGCGCGGCGTCTCTAGAGAGGTGGATGATTACAGCGCTCCGCGTAGCCGAGGATTCGATGACGAGGTCCCAACTTACAGAGCTAACGAGAATGAAAGACCTGGAGAGAGCTCCCAGTCTGAATCTGCTCTACAGGACTTTGATCCCAGCAAGACCATTGCTCAGATCTATCCCATTCTTGAATTCAGAGACAAAGTTGTCCGCAAGCTCGCATCGATTATCGAGAAGATCCCCGGCTTGGAGGCAATCGTTGAGAAGATCACTGAGACGTTGACCGTCTTCGTTATGTCTCTGCTGGCACCGTTCATCCGCCCCCTCATCAACGCCGCTTCCAAATCTTTGCAAGCTGGATCTTCCGGTGTGATTGATGCCTCCGGGAAGCACCAGTATGAGCCGTGGACTGACCCCAACTGCACGGATCCTACCCATTCGCTACTCTCCAAGGACCACTTCTCTAACATTCTCAATGAGCCAGCCGGTCATGTTGCCTCCGCTATTCTTAAGTACGTCGCACCTCGGGTTCTGTACGCTTGGCAGAACCTGGACGTCTCCGATGATCAGGTATTGGAGGACTGTCTGAAGGTGTTCCATCACCCGGCTCTGCGCAACATGAACAACGAAGCCCACCGCACAATGTTCAAAGCCGTGCAGGCCTGGGTTGACTCCAGGCCGGACCGTGGTGCTGATCTGAACGATGTTCTCAGCGCTGAGGGAGTAAGACAAGGAAAGAACAGCACCGGCGAGGAAGGGGGCCATTCACACTCACACGGTGGTGGTGGATTTGGTGCTGCAGGACACAGCCACGGATCTCAACAGCAGCGTCCGCCTCAGCAGCAGCAGCAGCAAGGCTCGTCTCCTCTCCCTTGGGACAAGCTGTCCAGCCTTCCCATCCCGGGGATGTCCAATCTCAACAAGTTGAACAGCGCCTTCTCCAATCTGATGGTAGGTGGAGGCACGAGAGGCGAGACCGAGGAAGCCGAGAACCCAAGTCAGTATGAATCTCGTGTAGAGTCTCAATATACTACGCATCACCAGTCCTCGCATCACGAGTACAGCAGCTACCAGCACCAGTACCAAAGCCAAAGCCAGAGTGAGTATCATCACAGCCAGGAGCAATCATACCAGCCAGCCCCTCCTCCCCCATCTGGCTTTGACAGCTACGGCGGCTATGATGAGTACAATGGAAGTCAGCGAAGGCATCATGGAGAGCATCATCATGGTCACCACCATCATTACCCACCGCCTGGTCGCACCCCTCCTCCTCCGGGCCCGCCTGGAGGTTACGAGGAACAGTCTTACAGTTCTTATTCCAGTTATGGACGTGGGAACGGACATAGTCAGGACTACTATGGGGGGAACTATTGATGAATCGCTACGCTAGCAAGTGTACTACTTTATTTTAGCAAGCAATAGACTGATATTATTGATGCCTCTCGCAGAAAGCATTCTCCTGACGTAGACATGTAGCATCTAAATACCCTCTAGCAAATTGAAAGCTGGTAAAGTGTCTGTCCCTTAGCAAGAACAATCCCTTCACATAGAATAATGTTACACTATGTTCCTACACACGAACAAACCTTACTAGTTAATTAAGCTATCAACCACGTAGTCCTCCACTATCGCTGAAAGAAGACAGAAAATCAATTCGTTTACAAGCAGTCACCTCATTTAATAGTAGTAGGTAGGTAACTAGTAAGTAATTAATAGTCATTCTCAACATTTAATTAGTGGGGCAAGGGGGAAAAAGAGATAAGAAAAAGAAAAAGCAAAAAAGAAAGCCCAACGCGGGGCTCGAACCCGCAGCCTTGAGATTAAGAGTCTCACGCTCTACCGATTGAGCTAGCCGGGCTAGTTCGGTGATACTGTCTTTCTATAATACCTCTATAAATCTTTGGAATTATCGGGGGAAGATTTAGGTTTAATGTTAGAGTCGAGAGTACATACCTACATACAAATTAACAAATAAATAAATAGGTGTTTTCCAAAAGTCGAGATATATCCGCTGATTGAATCACATAACATCGAACCTCATCTAATTATCTGGAAAATTATTATTACTTAATTTAATCTATAGGATATACTGTATTTTGTAGTCCGCATGGTGCTGGGGTTAGGTGTTTGGGGGATTATCTCCTTGTTGGTATAGTTGGTTTGTGGTAAATGATGTCTAGTAGCAAGCTATTCAGTGGATGTTGTGTAGATTCATGTATTGAAGTATTGATTTGAGACACCCGGAATGTCTAGTATATACAATTCAGAACGTAAAACATATGTACAGTGCAACAACATACATGGCAAGAGTGCATCATGATGGGATATATCGCAGCCGGATATTCTGTAGTTGTGTGCACATAAAGGCATTTAGCCACACCACATATGACCTGCACTTGCAGGTATGGAAAGAGAAGAACAACCAGAACCGGACCAGGGCAAAGAACAAAGCAAAGGATATCATATCACATCATGTCGCAACCATGGATTCGCCAAGCACCGATCATTAACCACATGTATATGGGCAAACCAAGTGGATAGCGAAGAAGAAAGAGTCGAAGTAACAAACGCCGGTACCTGTTTAAAGGACACAATGTAGTGGACAACTGTTGTCAATCATAGTTTAGTCCCCTCTCGTCCGCTATCGCTGAGTCTCCGAGGCCGGAGAAAAGCAGTAGATGGGCCAGCGGCGCTACTTGGCCCTGATGCAGACGCAGGGTTGCTACTGCCATTGGCGTTGGTTGGACGTGCACCTGCTCGCTGGCCCTGATGCAGACGGGGGTTCAGGAGCCATTGCACCTGCATGCGAATGCTGCCCACGGCTGCGTTGGTGTGCGCCATGTCTTCTTTTAAGCGAAGACATTCGTTCATGAGAGCCATGCTGGCGCGGGCGTCTAGATCCGTGATGGCGTTGGAGAGCTGTCCAACCTCCTCGCGGAGAGATTCATGGAGAGAGAGCAAGTAGTTCGTTGTAGTGGCGGTATAGAGGTTGGAGCTGTCGATCTGAGATTGGTTGCTGGTCGAATCTCGTCGACGAGGGGCGTCGGAATTTGTCGGGGAGTCTTGCTCGGCTAGAGTACGAGTCGACTGGGCTAATGTCGATCGGATGTTGGAAATTCCGTCCTCGAAGATCTCGTTCCGCTGTTGAAGGTGGCGGATAGTAAGTTCAAGCGAATCGAGTCGTGCATTCTGCGCTTCAAAGTACGGGCCCATGGCTATCAGTGGACAGGTCTGTTCGTGTGTCGTCAAGTCCGCACGCTTCACCTTGACGGGGCAGCCGTACTTCGATGCCGCGCAAGGATGGACAACCTCGGGACATGAGTCGATGTGTTCTCGCAGTGATTTACGTAAAACGTTTATCTGGCAGTCGGGGCATGTTGTTTTGAGACTGGGGCATAGATCCTTGACATGTTCCTGTGGCAGAACTTGATTAGCAATGTTATATGGCTTGGAAGCAACATCCATACCTCGTAGTCTTGTTCCGCGACGTACTCGTCGCATCGCAGACAGCGTTGAAGCTCATGCAAGCACCGACCCTCAGAGCTGAGGTCCTTCTTCCGGGTCTTCTTGTTGCAAGAGCTATCCGGACACTTCATGAGTCTGTAGCCACAATACTTGTCGACATGAGACTGAATGTGCCCTCTTGGTATAATCTCCTCGCAACCTTCATCCCGAAAAGGACATCGCACTTTGATATCATCACACATATTGAGTAGCAGACGAGGCACGTTGAGGTAGACACCCTTCGTTGGGGTCCGGCAAGTAGGACAGGTGAAGTCGTCTCGACCGGGGGAAAACGGACTGGGGGAGAACGCAGTGATGGCAGTGTTTAGGCACTTCTGACAGAAGACATGATCGCACTGCAGACGCACGGGGCGAACAAAAGGGCAGTGACATATCGGGCACATGAGGTGGTCATCGTAGCTGGAGACCAACTCCAGTGAGCGCAAGTCGACAACTTCGTCTCGGTCGCAGTTCGCCTCCATCGCGAGCGACTCGTCGAGAGTGATGGATGTCATACTTCCAAACCCCCTTCCCACGCAGGAAGGGTTCAGCTTATATTGTCAAGCCACGGGCTCGTGCGCCGATCGATGTAGTCCTGCACAGGGGGGTAAGTCTAGAAATGAAGGGACCGACCGTCCAGATGCCACAGGGGTCGGGATGATGAAACAATAGCACAAAGCAAACGCCCATGTATCTCAGAAAGTTACACAGTGGCTGACAGGAAGGTTTGACCAAGAGAAGAACAAAAATTCAGGGGGGAGAGTGGCCGCAGGAGGTGGACGTGAGGAAAGTGAGGCCATTGCGGGGGGAAAGGCAAGAGAGAGAGGAATGAATGTGGATAACCATGAATGACGGCGAGATATGGGAAATGGAGACGATGGCGGCGGAAGCGGCAGATCTGCCGAGAACGAGGCCCTCTGGGTTGTATCCATTCCATCCACCCGGGCTGGTCCTCTGGCTTCAGCAATATCCACTTCATTGCTCCATCAATTGGCAGTCCCTGCGTGGATGTACTGTACTCATCTGCAAGTCGCCGCGGTTCCGACATCTCCGCATTGCCTGGGCTTGACCGACGCTAAGACAACCTCACAGCCTTGTCCACCCTCCTCTCTCTTCCCCCCATCCGGCTCTCCCCCAATACCATCCTCACGCATATTCAAACACTATCATATCCCTCTCCGCCATGCCAAACCCTTCACAACTCCTGCTCCTTGCCGACCATATCAAGTTATCGCTCCTCGAACGGCAACGAGCCATCTCGCTCGACCTAGAACCCAATAGTCAAGATGGCGAGATCTCACGCTCCCTCGACTCCTTGAAAGAGGGCATCGATGCCGTGGAATCCGACTGCGCACGACTAGAAGAAGCCAACGATGAAAGCGCCACCGAGATGAGAGACCAGCTCGACCACCTATACTCCCAGTATCGAGACCTGACATCCCAATTCCGCGGCTCGGATGCCACAGCAGAGGACGATCCCGTCGAGTTCACCAACATCAAGAAGTCATCACCGGACCTGAAACAGCCCGTCCCGCAACATCCTTCTTCCAAATCAGTCCGTTTCATGGACAACGCCGCCGAAGAGGACGATCTCAATCGCCGCAACCTTTTCCAGCCATACCGCGACTCGCCCTCCCCACAGGGCGTCGACACATCCGACATGTCCAACCAGCAGGTCTACGATCATCATGAGCAGATCATGCGCGACCAAGACGAGCAGTTAGACCGACTCGGCGAATCCATCGGACGACAACACCAACTCAGTATCCAGATTGGGGATGAACTTGAGGGCCATGTCGCGTTGCTGGATGACATGGATGGCCATGTAGAACGGCATCAGGGTCGGTTAGACAAGGCCAAACGCCGGCTGGATAAATTTCGGCGAAGTGCGAGTGAGAATTGGAGCATGATGACAATCATCGGGTTGATCATCGTCCTCGTCATACTGATCGTCCTGCTCAAATGAGTGTGGGTGTGGACCCCCTCCTCTCGTATATGATACTTCTTGTCATGACACTGTTGTTGTGTGATCGGGATTACTACGGAGTACTCTGTTGATGATCCCCCGGGCGAAATGGCGTTATTTGCGTTGAATTGGAGTTGTCCATACTACTAAGCCATCGGGTTGGTGGAAGGGATTCTGTGGCGTTACAATAGGTATATTTGCTTGCAGCTTTAACACTTTTACAGTCCACCCGGCATCTGTTTCGAATACACTATATATCATTCCTTTGAATTACTCTATAGCAGAACCGAATACAATTTCCTGCTTTTGATACCATATTATAGAAGTAGTAATATATCCCTCAGAAGTACTTCGTACACAGACAAACAAATGACCCATCATATCACAGTCAGTCCCAACAACTCGTAAGAAGCCAGCCACCCGACCGAGGAACAACAAACAACATGAATAAAAAAAAAAAAAAAACAGTTTCATTTCATAGCATTCTCAGAACCCATCCCTTAAGTAAACAAGTAGTAGTAAAACAATTTATTGAGTCTTATTCACGGGCCCATCCCTATTCGGCAACCCTTTCGTCCGTTCCTGCATGGCTCCAAAGTTGTTATCATCACTGTCTACTTCGCCGCGATCGGCTTTGACCTGTTTCATTGAAACAATACATTAGCATCAGAAAGCTGGTAATATAAGTTGAGTAAAACCTACCGACGCCTCACTATCACTAGCGATTTCCTGCTTCCACTTGGCCTTGCCTTCCTTGCTGCTCTTTACTTGGTCGTGTTTCTCGGCCTCGTAGATGTTGGCGAGGTCGTCGCGGTCTGGTATTGATTTTCAATTATATTAGAGGATACTTCTGGCTGGGAAGAGTTGGTGGGTGGTATGGACTGGACTGGACTCACTGTGATCGGATTCCTTCAAGCCTGGACGAGGAATGCTGGTGTGGAGAGCTGCTACTGCTGCTGCAGGAGAGGTGGTGGTGGTGGTGGTGGTGGTGGTGTAGGCAAAGGCAGGGCGGGAGAGGCGGAGGGTAGATGCGCGGATGGGGGTGAGGAAGGACATTTTGGTGGTTGTAGTTGTAGATGTAGTTGTTGTATCTGGATTGAGATTGATGATGTTGTTAGTCTAATTCTTATTAAATTGAGAGGGATGGATGGTTAGTTATGGGAGAGGTAGGTAGTATGTAGTACGAAGCTATCTCTTCCACACCTAACAACCACCATTCTCGATAAATTGTGCATGGCAGTGTACTTACAACTCTCAAGAAGTAGTCTCAGTAATCCCAACGATGGATATATGATAAAATGTGTTGATAAGTGGCAATCTCTAGATGTAACTGGATGATAGATAGATTAGAAAAGGATGGATAGCGGCGGCCTTATGTACTTTAAATGATTCCCTCCCCCTCCCCAAGCGAGAACTTCCTTCCAGCTACCAATCATCAATTTCAGGGAAAAGAGAGTCCCGTTCGACCTCGGGTGAATCAGTTGGCAGCCATTACTCAATGCCAGTTTTGGGACGAATTGCTGGCTGTAGTAGCGGTGACGTCATGGAGTCTGATGCGTTTCGGGATGTAGTAGTAGTCTACCAAAGGTATCTCCATCATTCATTCTTACCTACGGGGATCGTTGAGTGATATTTTTTTTTTGGGTAAAGAGACTGTTCTTTATACTATAGTAACTGTTTATGCTGATTTTGTAGTATAAGTAAAGAGATGAAATTGAATGCTGTCTTCGGAGAAAGTGTTTCTGGATGCAAGAGACTTCAGTGTCTTCCAGGTTCGAGGCCGCAAATCAAGGATATGACATCACGTACTTTGAACCACTCCCTCTATGCCATTACAACCAGATAAGTAGGCGATCACCACATGAGTGAGGAAGAGATTATCTAAATATTCTACTGCTTTCTCATCATTTGAATGTATTCGCTGCATTCAGATGCTCTCAATGCTATGGTTTTGCGAACGTTGTGAGTTGGTTCACACCCGTTACAGGGCCTACGAATATATATCCGCCTGGGCCTCTGAACAGCATCGAACGTCGACCACTCAACCCCAACTAAAATATGGCAATCTGATAACTACTATTTCATCAAAAGCTAGTAGCCGTTGCGATAGCAACCGTTATACTCTATTGCCCCTCAATCTGCAACCTGCATGATACGATATCACCCCAGATTATGAGGTCATGTGGCGGATTTCTACAACGCTGCAATTATCACCAAATTACTATCATCCCTACATCTACTGTTGAAAAGTCTCACGACTGAATGGAGTCCAAAGCTAATTTCACAACTATGTATAGGCATCACCCCCCATAGTTCCAGCCAATAAGCGTATAGACAAAGGAGATATGGTAAGAGACGGAATACCCAAGAAGCGAACAGAATCAGGAAGATCATACACTGCATCACATTCTCCGGGAGTCCCCAGGAGTCGAAGAACATGACTTTAAGAAAACATCCGAACGAATCAACGTGGAGGCGAACAGAAGCGAATTATGTCGTCAACTGACAACTCCCATCAAGACAGTTGGTCTATCTCGCGAAAGAAGGCGAGTGTGACCCCTAGCAAAAATCAGGAAATAAAGAAAAACTCCTCATCCAATCCATGGATTTTCACAGCCAGTTGACCTGAAAAGTAACAAGCACCGCGTGTCACCAATTCCCCAACCAACCCATATACATGGTATAACAAACAGAATTTTTCAAGAAATGAAAACATATGCGAAGTGTAGGTCGAAACCAGCCAAACATCCCAAACAACTCAGCAAAGCCCAATCAATGCAGACGTATATATCGTTTCCGCCTTTCTAAATCCCTGAAAAGCATGAGAAAATGATCCATCCCACCCAAAAATCTGACAAAACACCAAGCCGAAAAGATGAGGTATAACCGCCAACAGCAAATCTGGCATAGCCGCCGTGGGAAACCAAAAAAGCAACTCCGGTCCATAGATGCGCGCCTGAATGGCCGATCGCCGCGCTTTCTATACATCATCGCGGCCCAAACTCGAGGTCAAAGCACAAAAGGGTTTCCCTAACCGTAAGATAAAAACAAGGTATCGTTTAAGGTGGAATGCAAAAATCGAATATCGCAGGCGCCGTCGCTCGCAGGAAGCCGAAAGCATCAGTCTAGGTATAAGTTGCTCGAGTCGTCATCGAAGTAAGGTGTATATACAGAGAAACACTGGTTTATCCTTTGCTGTTTTTGCGCTCGTGAAGCCAAAAAAGGAGAAGGGAAGATCAGTCGAATCGTAAGAATGCGATGGCCGTGTCGAACAGAAAGCAAAACAAAGCAGTAACAATTATAACCCGCGGTTAGGGAGCCCGATGATGCAGAAGCCGGACGAACGTGGTGAACATGCTATGAGCCTAAGCGGCCCTTTGCCGAATGGAACGGCGACTTGCCAGAATCGCGGTCCTCACCACCGACGTTGGGCATTCTGCATCGAGGCCGGGGAGATCGACGTGGGCGGGCTCGTCAAGGTCATGCCAGTATTGGGGTTGACGATCGGGATAACCTTGCGGGTGCGGACTGCGGACGGTTGCTGGAAGTTCACGTGATTAAGATTACCGCTAACCCCTGAGTGAACATAGGAGTTGCTGGAGGCAGGAGACAGGGAGATGGAGGGGGTGACCTGCTGGACAGGCTGGATTTGATGCTGGAGAGGAGAGGTATCGGGAGATCCACTGGAGAGAGATGACCGATCCGAGGAAGCAGAGTGAATGGAGTGCAGCTGTAAATCAGGGGTCAACAAGCTGTTCCATCAAAGTACGGGGTCGGCAGCCAAGATATCCGTAGTACGAACGGCTGGAGAGAGAGGAAGGGAGTGCTAGGCCGGGTTCGACAAACATACATCATCTTCCGTCAGGAGACTGGGGCAAAACTCCAGGTCGTCATCCAGGTCAAAAGACCGTCCAGCTTCGAAACGGGCACGGAAAGCAGTCACAGCAGGGGCCTCAGCAAGCTCCCGCATGCTCTTGACACCTCTGAACTGGCGCTGAGCATTCTGGGCAGCCATCTTGGGTCCCCGACGGGAACGACCCCCATGGTGGTTGTTTGAGTTGGCCATGTGGGCGGCAGCACCGTGGTGAGGGTGTTGCTGGTGCTGGTGCTGTTGCTGGTGACCGTAGAAGAACGTAGACATTTTGTTGTGTGGTTGTGGCGAAACGAACGCAACAAAAGGTAAAGCGAAGTTATATCGGTAGGAAGGGTATGCTGAGGAATTCGAGGGCGGATATAAACAAAGACCAGCGCTCAGGAATCCCGACAGTACGCAACTCCGGACGGACTAGAGTAACAAAGAAAAGAGACGGAGTAAGGTAGAAGAATGACAAGCGGTCGGACGGAATGCAGTGTGCGGAAACAAGAGAAGCGGATTTGAAATAAGGAAGAAAAGTGGAAGATTGTGGGATAAAGATGGGAGAGAGATAATGGGAAGTGAATGCGAGAGTGAAAGTGTAAGAGATCGGGGGGCGGGCGAATTTGCGATTAGTGTTGTGGGATGGGGAATCATCAACGGATGGCGGGACAAGAGTTGAAAAGAAGACCGGGAGCGAGAAAAGAGTCGCAGCGCCCGGAGCGGACGGAGGCGAGAGACTGAGAGCAAGAGGGGCTGCAGTTGTGATTCGACTGGGGCTGAGCAAAAGTGCACGTCGGTGGAGATCCGCAAGGGAACATACGTGACCCGTACTTACCACACACACACACAGCCTTTTCCTACCGGTGGCATCCACGAGTATGGAGGGAGTGAAAGGACATTACTGGTTACAAGTGGTTCCCTCGCCGAGGCGCCTGTAAAGTATCCGTGGTATCGTCTGTAAGTCTGTAACATCCTAGTCCCAGATTTCCCGCGCTAACTTGGTCACGCACCCAGTTTTAGGGCAGGGTGAGGACCAACCAGATCCCTGTCAATGGATCCCCAGTGGCAAGTTAATGCCCCGATGTCCAATCATATCCCCCTGTAGTGGGCTCATGGCAGCCACCGTCAGTTTGGCCAATAAAACACCGAATTTGACTGCTCTAATCGGCTACCAAGCGGGCCTTAGTGACGTCGAAAGGAAGCGATCTAGTCCCCTTCAGGAATGGAACGGCGCACCCTCTCCCTTGACGCCTAATATATGGGTGTACTCGATCTAACCGTGACGAGTGCAAGCGGCTGTCGGATGAAGACCGGGTCTCAGCCTGGACTTTAAGGCTGTATTACCGTCATGAACAGCCCATGAGTATTACAGATGATGGTGCAATGATGCCTACTTACATACATTCATTAATTGTATGATGCAGACTGCCGTTAGATAGAGAACACTGTCTTTTACAGACCTGTGGATCTGCACTGCTAATGGAGTATCAATCGATCCATCTCGCCCACCAGCGGATGCATGGATGATGACGATGGCGATGGCAAAGAACATCGTGGCAATGCTTCTGTAGTGGCTCTCTCTCTCTGTGTTGGGTCGTTTTCAAGGTCACCAGGAGGATCCTTCCCGTCGTACCTGTACCTCGTCAGGTATCGAACCCCCCAATCACTTCGTGTTCAGAAAGGGAAAGGGCAGGTAAGAGGGAGTACACAGTAGTAGTATGTGGCTCCCACTTCCGAAGACAGGCATGCGCTGGCAAGCAGGCAAAATGCCCACTACGACACCTGCGGGTAATGATTTGCAAAAAATGTGGTGAGCCCCACCGGACTAGCTACCCTCTTTTTCGTTGCTGTTATTCTCGGTACCTTTCCCTTGAACCGTGCCACTTGGTCTCGTCGGGGGGCGCTCCTTTTCCATTCTAAGCCTACCTACTATTGCCGTTTACCCATTATCTCCTCCCCTAATTTGTCTTCAACTTTCAGGGAGAGGCGCCCTCCTTAGAGTGGGCGGGCGGGACTCGGGCCATCTTACTTTGTCATTTCCCCCCAACCATTGAAGATTGTCATTAACTAATGGGATTAATAACGGGCAGCTCCTGCCATGGCCACCCTTCGACGGCTTCGACAAGTATTCCATAAGAGAAATTAATCCTCCACTTCAATATCTGGATCTTCTCCATTTTGAGCGGATAGTCAGCTGATACTATTGTCAGTAGTACTTTCGGACCAGAAATATATTACGGAATAGTAATAAACAAACAAATGATTTTCTCGTTTAGCATTTATGCCCGTATAAGGCACTGTTTGTTTTTTGAGTCCCTCTTCTTCATTCATCTCAAAAATCAATCAGGTACGGAGAACGCCGTCAACAAAGGAACCGAATCTTGAACTGGGCTTGGCTGCTCTGCATTGTTAAGGATCTGCTCCCTTGTCTTCCCATCCATCCACATGGGGCAAGCGCTACGACCACT